AATCCCTGAATGCTTCTCACTCTCGGCTTTTGCCTTCCCACCATGAAAAAGAAATCCATGAAACTTCGCCCACTGGATTGAGTCGCTGTAGCTTGCTTCGCCAATTTTGTCCTACATTTTTTGAAATCGGCGTGTCACCGTGTCTATGTCCGTACTTCTTAGATACTGGTCACCAAGAGACACATACCATCAACCAAAAAAAACTTAAGAGAGAGGGAGAACTCACCCACTTTAGAGAATAATGTTCACTTTGTTCTCATCCCAAAAGTAGAGAATCCATCCTGAAGCCTCGATGGGAGTCATGTGAGGACCAACCCACATAATTAGAGCTCTAGACAGACTTGGCCAACACTCTGGACACATCATACATTTGGATTCTTGAAGGAAAACATTATTGAGATTCAAACTAGTCAAGACATCCTTCACAAGGCCCCTTTTGCTGGCAGTGCTTAGGCCCCTCACATCCCACAAAAGAATTCTCATAAAATGCGAGCAATTCCCTCCGATGCATTAGACACATTCCCTTTCTCATTATTCATGTTGTTATTAGGTTCTTCAGTTCTCTGCTCCCATTTCCTTCTTTCTTGCTCTGYGTTTTGGCTTCCTCGCTATCCTTGAGACTATTATAATCTCATACTTAAAGACTCTCCACGATATTAAAAAGGCTGTTCCAATGAGGGTCAAGCTCGTGCCATTTCCCTTTTTCGAGGGCTTTTTTCATCTCTTGAATCACCAGATGATGGGGCTGGGTTTGGGAGTCTTTGTTAGGGGTGATGTTTTCTATGCTTTGACTGAAAGATTGCGAGTCCATGATTTGACCAGCACATTGTAGAGATTATTTTTCCCCACTAATGTGGGACTGATTTATTTCTGTTAGTGGGAATATTAATTATGGACGTGGGCATGAAGCTTGGATCCTAAGGGATAAATTGACGAAATTAAGTTGGAAATTCATTTTATTTTTTATTGAATGTATGTATGTATGTACTTATTTATGTATATAAAGTCATGCTATTTCCAACAGAATATGGTGCAATCCACCATGGCATTTCATGCTTTCCTCATATGTTGCTAAGTTCTGTGTCATCTTTCCTAGATTTCACCATCAAAGGGTCCCATTGGTGATCCTTGTATGTGGAACTACCTGTGTTGGGAAGTCAACCATTGCCACCCAACTTGCACAGAGACTTAATTTGCCAAATGTTTTACAGGTCCTCTATATATTTTATACATATATACTTGTTAAATCTCTCCCCCTGTTTCTTTCTCTTGAGACCTAGTTATGTTCTAACTCTTAGGTAACAATTTTTTTTTTGCTTATGCAGACAGATATGGTATATGAATTACTACGCACATCAACAGAGTATGTCGTAAACTTATTTGTCTACAAAGCCTAATATTATTATCTTATGAGTTAAAGCAGTTTCAAATAGATACGATGATATATTATCCTTTTGTAAAGAGCAGGTCTGTTTACCATGCATGAGATACAAGCCGTTGTTTTGCACATGTAGTTAAGGGTTATTCTCTCTTGTTGCTTAAATTGAAATCAGATTCATGTTTGTTGTACATGAATTAGTGTTTTCGAGGCGCACCCAGGCGAGCCCCTAAGGCAAGGGGTGAGGCGATTTCACCTTGGTGCGCCTGGAATGGTGCCAAGGCGACTGCCTTCAATCGGGCTTYGCCATTATGGCGAGGTCAGCGCCTCGTTGAAGGCGGGCGACCAAGTCTTTTTTTTATTTTTTATTATTATTATTTTTTAATTAAAATTTTAAATGGTTTTAACTTAAAAAAGCCCACCTTAGACGACAAAACCCTAGCCTACTTGCGTGATTCTCCTTCTTCTTCGTCGTCTGGCTTCTTCCTCGTTTGCCAGCAATCGTCTAGCTTCTTTGCTGGTTGTCGTTTGCCAACAATCGTTCGCCGGCGACTTCTTCCTTCGCCTGCAGTTCCTTGTTCAACTTCTTCCTTGTTCACCGGCGACTTCTCACCTTCTTAGTTTCTCTCTTACCTTTGAAGACCTCCAGCCGAAAGGTTTAGGTTTTGTCTCTCTTTCTCTCTTCTATTTCTTTGTTTCATTTCATTTCTTTTATGTTTTACTTTTGTTATTATTTTACTTTTTTAAAGTTTTATTTTTTGCACATTTCGTAACTGTGTTAATAGAATTTGGTTATTTTAAATATTTTGATATATTCACTATTTAGTATTGATATTTTATAGTTTTGATCTTTTTAAACTATGTTTACTATATTAATTCATGCTCTATATAAATAATTTTTATTGATTTATTAAGGTGCGTCTCGCTTCACTCAGGCCTCACCTTTTTGTTGCCCCTCGCCTTAAGGCAATCAAAGGACTTGTTGCCTCGTGGTGTGCCTTGTGCCTTGAAAACACTGATAGGAATTTACTAGAAGCATTTTTTTTTTTTTTGAGCAAGAAACAAACTTTTCATTGATAATATGAGATGGAAGAAAAAATTTAAGGATACAAGCTCCCAAAGGAAGCGAAAAAAAGAAGAAAAGCAACCAAAAGTTAGAACCAAAATACAAGGAAATAGACGAGATCTGAAGCCGAAGAAATATCAAAAAGCTAAAAGAACAGATGCTGCAAAAACTATCAACAACAAAGCTTGCCAAACCAAATGACTGCTTGCTGAGGGAGAAACCAAAACAATCGCTTAACACAAATTGACTGCCAGAATGAAGAAGCAAAGAAACTGAAACCTCCCTTCACCAAGAAAAGACTAGAAAACCAAAAGATCTGGACCCTCAAAGCTTGCTGCAAAGCGAAAAAAAAATGATGCTCTTAATTAAAGCGGATCTATTCAGTGATTGGAACTAGGGTAAGGTCTACATCTTCAAAAAAATTTAAGAAAACTGTGATTATCATTTATCAGTGCAAGAAGCCTTTTCAACTACCAAAGGCTGTTTCCGAGAAGGAGAATCCGTTTTCCCAGAAGGCTATTTCTATTTTCTCCTTAGTCTTCCGACTCTAGACATTCATCTTCTTTCCATTTTCACTTTTTTTTTTTCTTCTACTTCTTCTCCTCGTTTGGGCCGCAAGTGGGCATTGGTGTCAATGGTAGAACTCACGATGGTGGTTGCGGTGAAGGTGGGTGGTGGCAGCAATAATGGGCGTGGCTTTTTCTAGGTTTGAAATCAACAGCCTTGTCTCATCCGTGTCCCAGCATGTCCAAAATTTAAAAAAAAAAAAGAGACTTAAATTAGTGTGTTCGAGGACACGGATACTCCCCCTAAAATGGAGTGTCCACGCTTCATAGGTGGAGGCCTTATTAGTATCTCTTTAGACACCATTAAACTGTTGAATTGCTTTGGTGCCTCCATTGAAGTGATGAAGAACCAGTGTGGTTTTATCCTGCCAAAGTGATCGTGCAAGATCCGATTCTTGATAAGGTGGTAGTGGTAGTTCATATCTTTGCTTCTGATTCCTGCGCTTCAAGACCAGAAATTTTAGGCATCCGAGTACGATTGGTTGAAAAATCCTTTGGATTTTTTTAGAGCTAAGAAAGTTAGGGAAGATGGATAGTCATATATGGTTAGAGATTCGTCTTTTAACACTGATGGGTTGTTGGTTGGGTTGGAGGAAGAATTTAATGTTTTCCATGTGATGCCATTGATAGAGGTTGAAATCATTTATGCTGATCTGAAGGCTTTAGATTTAAACTCTAAAGATGTTCTGAATGTCTCTGTTAATAGAGCTTCGGCTGACACTTCTAATGTGGTTGGTGATGTGATGGTTGATTCAAATTTAATTGGTGAGAAGTTGTTTTTAATGACACAATTATTTGGTTCCTTCCAGCACAGCTCTGCATGCCTCTGTTTCCAATAAAATGGTTGGTGAGAAATTAGCTGTCAATGATTATAATTTGGCATGTTCCGATGCAGCTTTGCATGTGTCTGTTATTAATACATTGGTTGATGAAGTAAACTATGTTGGTGAGTTGGTTGATGGTGTCATTAATATGGCAACATTGAACTTAAATTGCGAAAGGCTTTTTTGGAACATAGAGCCTCCATTAATGTGGTTGGAAACCCAACCACCCCTTCCTTTATTGAAGGTCCCTTCTATTCGTTTATAGCAGAAGGTCTTTAAACAAGCTTAAGTCTTTTTCTTTTTCAAGCGACAATATTTCAATTGGGCGAGTGTCATTTTTTCATGGAGTGACTCCTTCTAAAGAAGGTCTCAATTTCCCCCTTCAGAGGCTGATTTTTTGGATGATGATGAAGATTTCAATGTAAGTTTTAGTAGTTATGACTCTTTTTATAAAGAATCCTTTGTTGAAGTTTCTAATGTTGGCCGTTCGGATGACAATTTTGAAGATGGTTTGGTTTCTCTTTTCAGCGAGGTTTAAGATCAATATTTGATAGAAAATCCTTCTACATTGCCTTTTCTTGATGAAGGTGGTTCTAAGCAATGGTTATCCATCGGTCGTTCAAAGGACTTTAACCGATTTCTTCTTCAAGAGCTTGATTTCTCAGATTATTTTTTAGTAGGGGTGCACACCGATTCCTTCTTCAAGAGCTTGATTTCTCAGAAATGGTTTCGGTTTAGAGTAAAAAATTGAACTCAACGAAACTGAACTGAAATATATTTATATATTTGTTTTTTTAGTTATTTAAAACATCACATCTTTCATTTGTTGCTTTTGATTAGCGTGCCATCAATACCAACTTTTCATTTCCCCAAAATCCACCCACACACCGCAAGTTTTTCCCACATTCCCATACCATTTTTCTATTTTATTATTTATTTATTTTTAACGAGGTCTCTTTGTCCCTTCAAAACCCTAGCCTCATAATTTCTCTTTCTTGTGTGTTCAACTTCAACCACCTCCTTTGTGTAAGTTTGCCTCATCTCTCTCTATCTACTTTTTCCCTCTATATAGTTCTTCTCTGGCAAGCAGCACTCAATTGGCGACGATCGAAGGAAGCTCTTCCCTTCTCTGCCATAACTCCACACTTGCAACACAACAGAACTCGTCGGGTCGACGGCGGGTCCTGAAACACCAACGGTAGTCCACGAGCACGATCCCTCCCCAGATGACGAATCCTTCGTTTTGGCCGGCCTCATCGAATCAGCCTCTCCCTACACCAGTTCTTTGCTAGGGCTTTCCATTTACGCCACATGCATGTGAAAGTGCAAACCGAACCGACTAAACCGTCAGTTTTTGGTTCATTTCCATGCGGTTTCAGTACTAATGTCGGTTCGGCGCGGTTTTTGTATTTTTTATTTTTTAAAATTCGGTTCGGTTTTGGTTTGGCCGTAAAATCGAACCAAACCGATTCCTGAACACCCCTAATTTTGAGCAAGCTGGCAATACCCTTATTCCCATCAATCACAAAATCAGTTTGGAAGTTGCTGATTTCAAAAGGGCAAGAAATTTTTAGATAAGATTCAAAATCTTTTAAGGGTTTATTGATTTGCTGGTATTTATATTTATTGGTTATGGGTTTTTCGGAAGAGTTCCTTTTCTGGCTCCTGTTTTTGTTTTCTTGGTAGGTTGTTGGTTTTTTTTTCCTTCCTTTTGGAGTTTGTTTCCTTGGACATTTTGTTCATTTTCATCTATCAATGAAAAGTTGTTTCTTGTTAAAAAAAACCAACATTTTGACAGCCAACTAGATGTCTTTGAAATCAACTAACCATCTAAACTTCCCACGTACCTTATGTGTGATTAGAAAGAAAGAAAGATAGATTACCACCATGGGTTGGCCTAATGGTCATCGGGCTTGGAAAGAAAGCCAAATCCTAAAGAAAGCTAAAAAGCGACCAGATAGGCCAAAGTCTCGATAGTTAGCTCTCGTCTAAAATTTAAACATTCAAAGAAGTTTACAAAATATCTACCAACTTTTCCAACCACTTTTATTGATCCTAGCTCACATCGTTGGAAAATGAGAATATGTTATTTTTTCTTCCATCTTAACAACTCTTAACAACTTTTGAGATTGCTTGGGCTCGCCATAGAGATTAGGGGGTCTATGGTGGAGGAAGTACTTTTGTATTCTCCTTTCCGCGGCAAGAGAGGTACTTATGGCAGACGGGTTTCTTTGGGATTTTGTGGGGGATTTGGTTGGAGAGAAACAATAGAATCTTTAGGGGGGTGGAGAAAGATTGAGAGTCTGTTTCGGACCTCACGAGGTTTAATGTATCCTTATGGGGGTCTGTTTCGAATTTGTTTTGTAATTATCAGTTAGGTTTTATTCTTTTGGATTGGAAGCCCTTTCTTTAGGTTGACTTCCTTCTTTGTGTATGGTGTTTTTGTATGCCCTTGTCGTCGTTTTTGTTTTCATTTGTCTCAATGAAAAGTTCGGTTTCTCATTAAAAAAATGATCTAAACCAATGAAAAATAAGTTATTTTTCAACGCTAGAGATTTTGCAATCCATTTTCAACCATCACTTAATCAAAAGCTGAATCTCAAAATCACCAAGAAGCTAAGAACGGCCTAAAAGCTCTAAGAGGAAAGAAGAGTGTATGAGGATGAAGTAGAATCCTCTCTTTTATCTTAGGAAAATACTTGGCTCCTCAACCATGAGGAGGCTCCTCACCCATTAAATGTTTGACAATTAAGAGAGAGAAATGTAAAAACAGAATTTAAAAAAAAAAATAATAAGTTGTCAAATATTTAATGGTAAGGAGGGCAAGGTTTCACCTCATTGTTTAGGAGCCAAGTATTTTTCTTTATTTAATACTTTGATATGTTTACAATCTACCCGTGCATTCAGTTTTTGGTTACATTTTTCTCTCCAGTGTTTTCTGAACACCTCATTGAATGCTCATTCATCTGCCTTTAAATATTTCAGTGCTCCACTGACATCTACTCCTATATGGGCACGAGATTTTAGCTCTCCAGAGGAGTTAATTACAGAATTCTGTAGAGAATGCAGAATTGTTCGTAAAGGTTGGTCGTTCCTTCAGTAGCAGAGTTTGTTGCTATCCTGCTGGTTGATGGCTTCTGTTACCCAATATTTTCTGTATAGGTTTGGCTGGTGATTTAAAGAAAGCTATGAAAGATGGAAAGCCTATAATAATCGAGGTAAGTCTTGCTTCGGGAATGGAACTAAGACTTTTAATTGTAACAGTTTAGGAAGCTTCATTTTGAGAATGTTTTGTATTGTATTCTTTGGTGGGCGGCTTTCTTTCTCATCTCATATTGTAACTTTTTAGAAGTAATTTTTTCTCCTTTAAAAATAAAGAAACAAAAATAAAAACAAATTAATCATTCAGTCCTTTTCTGGTTCGGATTTGGTTTGWTTGTTTTGCCTGGTTGTGGTTCGGGTTTTCTTTTCTGATGTAAGTTTGTTAGAAACTTAGAACTTTCCTTGTAGTTCATTGTACCAGTAATGAAAAGTTTTTTTGTTTGTCCATAAAAAGTGTTATGAATATCAGAGAAAGGAAAGAAATTATGGGGCTCACCTTTTGTAAATTTCTTTCATCGATGAAATTGTTTCTTACCAAGAAAAAAAAAAGAGAGAAATTATGAAAACTTATTGAATGGAATTCAATTTGTGGTCTCATAGTACTCATACACTGCAGACTTTCTAAATATCCTTTTATTTAAAATAATAGAAGTAGTTATTTGAGATATTTTCTTTATTGTTCTTGATATGGGGTTGTGACCCTAGTCTCCCTTTCCATCTCCCTAAGAGTTTTCTTTTGAGGCTAATGTTCCTTAACGTGCGCGCACACACACAAAAGAGTGAAAAGGAAAGAAAAGAGTGAGGTGTACAAAGTTTTTTCAAACAGCATACATGCAGTAGTTTCATTTGTCATAGATATTTAAGAGATGGAATAATTAGTGTACTTAATTAATAAACAAATGAACGTGTTTTTTTCTCTTTTAGTTTTGGATGAATTAGGTTTCACTGGGACAATATAGAGTTTTTTCCTTCTTTGTTTCTTTAACACCATTTTCAGGAAATATTCTTTGTGATATGAACTCAGTATACTTTATAAACAAATTTAGGGAATACATTTGGATCCCAGTATATATTTAATGGATGATGAAAGCAAGTCACCAGCTAATGTCTCAGCGAAAGGTATAGAAAGAAATCCTTTATCTGCGACATCAGATGATAAAAGTTCAAAACAAATGGAGAGTAGTTCTCTAGCTTTTCGTCAAAACCAAAAAGGAAATGACACCTGCATTAGGACTTCTCCTTCCAAGGAATGCATGCACACCAACCAAGAGAATGAAGTGTTGGATTCTCTTGAAGCTGTGGGTATAGCAGGAAATGACACTGGAGTTACAGGTTGATGCAAACTATGATTTTTGGTTTCTTGTGTGTTCAATATTGAATTGAAGAATGTTAACTAAGTGCTGATATTTAATGACCAATTTAGATTTGGGTTCTTGAGGAAAATATATTTTGCTTTTTATGGTGTTATTCAGATGAAACTCACATTAAAGAGGAGAAGAGATCTGTCAGGAAGGAAAAGTCTGGTGCTGAGCCAATAATCATACCCATAGTCTTAAAAATGGCTGAATTTGACCACAAGGTATGTTTTGTTTGTCTTTACTGGTTTGTTTGCAAACAGCCTATGAACCACAAACTAGGCGGACATGTCGATTTCTAAAAAAGTATGATACAGACATGCTAGGGATGCATTTTTTAAGAATAAATGAGTATATATTGATACATTAGTACTTCAAAACAGATAAAACACATAAGTTGACATAAAAAAATGAAATGTACTTTACTTAACTTAGGACATAAAAGTTGAGTAATCAGACAAGAATACAATATCCAATATCCAACAACGTTTGCATTACAAACTGGAGAGTAGAATTGATCATCTTATTCAAATGTTCAATATCCAATGTCCAACAACATTTGCATTACAAACTGGAGAGAAGCAATAATCATCTTCTTTGTTGTTCTCCCTCTCCCTTGCCTTTCCTCCTCTCGCCCCTTCTTCCCCTCCCTTTCGTTCCCCACCTCCACGTCAGATCATGCTTCGATTGACCACCCACCTTCTCAACTCTAACAAACGACCATTGATAAAAGAAAACTCTCAATTAGTATAGAAGATGAAGTCTTCGGATGGTTTTGACTCGAAGGAACGTGGAAGATACATCAAAATCACAGAGAAGCATATAAAAATTATTTACCAAGTAGTTGTAGTATGGATCATGGATACTATTCAGGACCCTCTCCTTTCCCCTCAAGCCTAGAAATTTTACAGGAAGGTGGAATGCATTGGAGACTTTATTTGGATTAAAAAACTACAAACAAAAGGGGGAGTTTCCTTGAGATCACTGAGGTTCATACTTCATGTGGAAAAAGGATCTTGGTCATTCCTTCCAATAGAAATTACGAAGGCTAGAAGGACTTTAGTGGTTTATTGATAGATCTTACCGATGGGAAGGAGAAAGATAGCAGCATAAAGGGTTGAGATAGCTGGAGATTTCAAGAGTGTAGCACATGGAAGTAGTGAAGGCTAAGAAATCTACCCATTCCTGGCCATTATTACAATAGATGAACAAGAAGTCATAAGCCGATAGTGTTTAAAAGGAAGGAAATAATACAGCATGCTGATTTTAAAACCTAATATTATATCTACTGCTATACATGAGAATTCAACAAAATAGTAATTTTAGATCTAATCTTCTGAATACGTTTGGGCTTTATCTACTTGATTTTTAGAATCTTTGATTTATACTATTGAAATAAGATGGTGCCTCTTTTTGGATCAAATTATTATTATTTTTTTTTTAACAAGAAACAAACTTCTCATTGAATTAATGAAAAGGAATGAAAATGTTCAAAGATACAAACTCTCGAAAGAGAGTTTTCATTATATAAATTTTCTTATCTCCAATCTTTGTTTACAGTCTCTTATACTTTTTTGTTGTAATTAGTACTCTTCTTTTCTTGTTCAGGCATTACTAGAGGAATGGATCTCCCCTCGAACATTTAGCGACAAATGTCCTCTCCAGGTATATAAACTTCATAAATGTTCAATGCATGAGAACTTAAAATCATATAAAATTTTTCTGATTAAAGTTTTTGTACTTGTAGGTTTGTTCTTATTAAAATAATGAAGGAATAATTACATAACACCTCAGTTTTTTGGGCCCCCAAGCTGTGTAGTAATGTACTCTAAAATCTTGTTCATCGGCTCTCCACATTGGAAAAGGTTGTCTGTTCCTTTTGAGCGAGGTCACCTTGTAAATAACAGCACTGGCTATTAGCTAGAGGGTGCAGTGCTGATATTAGCTAGAGGGTGCATTTCTGACATGAGAGTGGATGGTTAGAGAAGATTTGAAGTAATGAGTATTTGACATCTCTATGCTGCACCCAGCAACGGGACTCCAAATTATCCTTTTTGATGAGGAGAAAATATGCATTAAAAGAGAATTAAAGACAGCCTAAGGGCTGGGGGTGGAGTTCACCCTGTCCCAAGAACTACAATAAAGTCTTCCAATCATACATAATCATGAGGAGGCTATAATTACAAAGGAATTTCCTGTGGTTTGAACACCACCAAGAAGAAGTATGTTGTACATTGTTCCAAAAAATACCTTCCATAGAATAGGAGTCTTCAAAAACACTTTTTTTTCTCTTTCCAAATGAGCGAAAGTATTTCAAAACACCTCTGCTTTGTTTCTAAACCTCATACCTGCCACACAACTTCAAATTCTAATCATCTATTTGGTTGAGAGGCACACCAAAATGCCGAAAAATTCAAATAATCAAGACCACCCTTTTAAAGCGAAAGAGTAATGAGGGAATAAGTGATTTAGTCTCCTCATTCAAAGGATGTCTTCCTTTTGCCTGGGCTCGCAGTGGTGTGTTCTGTGTAGGAATGCTGTAGAAGATCTTGAGCATATGTTGTGGTCCTGTCAGTTAGTGCAGGAGTTATGACGTCGTTTCTTTAGAGGTTTTAGTATTTTTGCTTGGGTTCGCTCCAGAGATTGCAGGGCTATGATGGATGAAGTGTTGTTATTCCCCCCTTTCGTGACAGAGGCCGTTTTCTTTGGCAAGCGTGCTTTCTGGTTTCTTTGTGGGGTATCTTGCTGGAGAGGAACAATAGGCTTTTTAGGGGTGTGGAGAAATCTGTGGATTATGTTTGAGACCTTATTAGGTTTAATACTTCTTTATGGGGTTCGGCCACTAAAGCCTTTTGTAATTATCCGTTATGTCTTATTCTTTTGGATTGGAGCCCGTTCTTATAAGGGTTCCCTTTGCCGAGCTGTTTTTTGATTGCCCTTTTTGTGTATCCTCTTTTTTCATTTGTCTCAATGAAAGTACAGTTTCTCATAAAAAAAAAAAAACAAATTTCTTTGTATTTTATTTCTCTTTTCATTATATCAATGAAAGTTTTCGTTTCGTGTTAAAGAAAATAAAATAAACAGAGGCTACAGACCAAGGGGGAGAGAAGAGACCATTTGGGGAATTTTCTTTGAAGTTTATTTGCTGCGTTGATGCTTCTATTACCGTTATTGTCTCTAATCGGGATGTCAAAATGTTGAGTTATTTTGGGAGAAATTTGTGGAAGAAATTGGAGAACATTCGGTTGGAAAGTGTTGTCTTAGAATCTGAAGAGGTTTCTAGTTGTGGGCAAATTCCTTATTGGTTGGAAAGTGAGGAGTGGCTTATAATCCTCATTGGGAAGTGAAGAGGGCATAAACCTTAATTTCACTTAGTTGATTGTTCGTTTTTTTGAGAATACAACAATATGTGGAGGTGGGGATTCGAACTCATGACCTTTTGGTAGGATGTTGGTGCCTTAACCAGTTGAGCTAAGTTGAGATTGTCAGTTGGTTGTTCGTTTTTTGAGGAGTTTTTGCATTTAAATCTCATCATGGAAAGCAACGTGTTCTCCTTTCAAGTATTTCTTTCTATCAAGACTTTTTAAATGTCTTATTTTGTGGTCTCTTTTCAAGTAGTTCTTTCTATTAAAACTTTTTAAATGTCTTATTTTGTGGAGAATATGAAGAGACTTCTTTTTGAAATCCGAAAGGTTTTATGAGTTTAATGACCACTTTGTTTGGGTCTTTTAAAACATGGATGGTTACAACCTTGGAATTATTAAAGGTTCGAGAAGTTGAAAGATTTTTTAGTTTCCCGAAGGTTATTTTGGCTACTAATACTTCAATAGGTTCTGGTTTCCCTCTTTCAAGCTTCTCCATCTTTCAAGCTTGCATTCAGAACTTCTCTTTCACCTTAGTCTCCATTATTAAAGATTACTTGAAGGAATCGAAGGTTGCTTTTGAGGTTTCTCCTTTGGATTTTTCTTTGCCCAAGTAGGTTTTGAAGCCCTATGGTGCTCCAAGATTTGCTTTTGAAGTTTGTTGGTTTCTCCCGTGGTGGTCCTTGGCTGATATTGCTCCTTGAAGATGATTTTATGTCTATTATCGTTCTTGTTGAATTGGGTTATATCTTCCCTTTTCGGTTCTTGTTTTTTCATTCTTTTTTCATATTCTTTCCCTTCAAGAGATTGTATCTATTGAATAATTTTGTTCCTTCTCATTAATCAATGAGAAGTTTGTTCCTTTTCATCTATCAATGAAAAATTAGTATCTTATTAATAAAAATCAATGAGAAGTTTGTATCTTGTTCAAAATAAAGGTACATGTTTGAATTTTAGCGACACTAGTCATCCAGGTCAAATAGAGGTAAGTAATTGGACTCTTGGCAATCTTATTTGATGTCTTAGTGAAGACAAGCAAAAACAATGGGACTTATTGACCCAAGCATAATTAACCTACAATCGCATTACTAATTTGCGTTCGATTTTAATCAGGAAGATGAGTAAATCGTTGAACGCATCATTGAATATATATATATATATATATATTTTTATATCAAACAAATATTACATTGATGGTATGAAATATAGAAAGGCCTCATGGGCAATTACAAGAAAATCTTCCAACTTGTAATAAGTTCATTTAGAGAATAACTATTGAAGGGGTAGAAACATTTACACCAACCAGGAGCTAGAAAAGTAACTCTATCAAAAAAGATGTCAAAAGGAAGGGCTTTTTCATTAAAGACCCTGTTGTTCCTCTCCAGCCATAAGCTCTAAAGGAAGGCCCGAACAAACTGAACCCATAGAGTAGCTCTTCCCTTCTTGAATGGATGTCCCGCCAATAGTTGATCAAGGAAGGTTTGTTGTGTAAGGTGTCTTCCACCCAAAAGCAGTGCGGAGATGATTCCAAAAACGGGTAGCATATGCACAATGAATGAAAAGATGGCCCCGAGTCTCTGGAGCCCCACAACAAAAGTGACAGCAATTGGAGGAGAGGGCAATGCGTGGGAGCTTTCTCTGAACCTTGTCACGGGTGATTATTGCCCCATGACTAAGCTCCCAGCAAAAGAATTTTACTTTTCTAGGGCACTTTCCTTGCCAGATGCGTGGGAAGAGGGTGGAGGTCGTGAGGCAGCTATTGGTAGTGAGGATTCGGTAAGCCGATTTGGTGGAGAAGGATCTATTTGCTTCTAGGGGCCAAATCCATAAGTCATCAAGGGAGGTGGGGGTGATCTCATTTAGGATGTGGGAGACTCCTCATCCTTAAGGGGTCTGCGAAAACTATAATCCCAGGAGGACGTAGTTTTCGACCATAAATCTGAAATTGTGGCCTCTTTTGTTTGATGATATGGCAAATAGGTTCGGGGAGAGGTTGTCCAAGGTTCCTTATGTGAGCCAGCTTTCATGCCAAAAGTTGATATGACTTCTTTCCCCTACTCTGCAGGTTGCATAAGTCTTAATAATGCTGGTTTGTTGTATGATTCCAGTCCATGGCCCTTTATAAACGTTGGAGCGAATGGTTGGCCAAGTAACCGAGAAAGAACCAGTGTATTTAGCGCGATAAGCTTCCTCCATAGCTAGTTTGGCTCGGTAATGTATCTCCAAATCCATTTGGATAGTAAGGCTCGGTTCTTTTGTTTGATGTTCCCAACACCGAGACCTCCTTCATGTAATGGAAGTTAGGTGCTGATCCAATTTATGAGATGTGGCTTGCCATTTAAACTCGGTCCTTCCCATAGGAAATCTCTAAAAATTTTGCTTATGTGCTCAGCAGCTTTTCCAGATAGTTTGAAGAGGGAGAGGTAGTAGATTGGTAAGTTTGTGAGGACTGATTGGAGGACGGTGAGTCTCCCCCCTTTAGAGATGAAGAGGTTGCTCCATTTGCTAAGCCGATTCTGAAGCCTTACAATAATTGGCAGCCAAAAAACCTCCTTTCTAGGATTCCCATTAAGAGGAAGACCCAAGTAGGTGCTTGGCCAACTCCCTGAAGCACAGTCCCATTCCTTCGCAATCTGCTATGTGATTTGTGGGCTAGTAGAGACACCATACACACGGGATTTTTTCTAATTTATGTTGAGACCCGAGGCAATCTCAAAGAACTTGATGACTTTGTGGATATTTTTTTATGATGGTGGGGTCCTTTTTAGAAAAAAATGAGAGTGTCATCTTGGATATTTTTTTATGATGGTGGGGTCCTTTTTAGAAAAAAATGAGAGTGTCATCTGCAAAAAGAAGATGATTAATATTAACCGAATCACATCTAGAAGCATAACCTGTGAGAAAGCCTTTGTGCTCTCCCTGTAGAAGCATAACCTGTTAGAAAAAAGGAGAATGTCATCTGCAAAAAGAAGATGGTTAATATTAACCGAACCACATCTAGAAGCATAACCTGTGAGCAAGCCTTTGTGCTCTCCATCATTGAATTGCATAAGGAAGTCCAAGAACAGCTCGAAAAATCTAAGCTACAACAGATAAACATTGGAGGCCTAAGAACTAATGTGTCCGTAGTTAGACACCGTGGAAGCAGGAGAGCACTGAGGAATGAGGGCAAAACAAGGTTTATTGATAGCTGCATTCACATTACTTGACCTAAAGAAGTCATATACCCTGGAATCTTGAAATGTTCCAGCACTTTTTAAAGAGGTGAATCTATCAGTGTTTGGCACTTTATTGGAGCCTAAAATATCAGCTGCCCATTTAATTTCCTCCTCAAAGGATTTGAACATGGTGTCGCTGACCACTCCTGGGATGGGAAGACTAATTCGAGCTCTTTCTTGTATTTACTTTTTGGTTTATATGGGCCTTGTGTATGGTCATGTGTTTTCGTACAGGGGCTTTCATTAGTACTTTCGTTCTTGATTTTGTTAGGGAAAAGTAAGGAAAAATTCTCTTTATAAGGTTTTTTCAAATTGTCCTCCATCCCATATTTTCTTTATTAGGAGGGTTTTTTTTTTTTTTTTGAACAAGGTACTCACTTATCATTGATATAATGAAAAAGAAATACAATGTTCAAGAGGTACAAACTCCTAAAGGGAGTGAAAGAAATCAACAAAAGAAATAAAAGGTAACAATCAAAAGATGTGATGAAAATCAGAAGATACAAGATGAAACAAACTGATGAGGATAAACCAAACATCTTGACAAGTAGAGGGGAGCCCTTCACTCAGAAAAGAAAACTTATTTTAACTTCTTGCTCCTCTCCTAGACCCAAGGCTTTGTATTTTGTAAAATATTTTAGCATAACCATTGGCTAACTCCTACTTCTGCTTGGATTGTAGATCCAACTTTCTCGTTCTTCTTCGCAAAACACCATTTATTTTCTCAGTCTTTCCAGTTCCGAGTTTATAAATTCAATCCATCTTTCTAGGGTAAGAGAAAAATCAAAGGAAGGGGGTGATATGATATTGCAGATACAGATCACTAAAGGAATTTTCTTTGTCACTGCTGCTTCTTTTTCTTCTATCTTATTCTCTATGCTGTTTCTTTTATTTTTTTCTTCTTGTACCTGAGTTCTTCCCTTTGATATAATTTTCTTTATTATTTAATGTGATTTCTAATATTTCCTTTGTTTCAGGATAAAGATAAGCTTATAGCTAATTTAAAAACTATTCAGGGTTATCTTTGCTCATTCAAATCACAGGTTTGTTTCTCAGCAAACAACTATCATTTTTCTTTGTTGATAGATAGATGCATGCAAAGCTGCTAAAGAAAACAATTGAAGAACTAAGAATTTAGGGTTTTTTTATTTTATCGTAATTTTTAGTATTTTTGAATGCAACAAAGAAGGGTTTTCTTCTCTCTCTCTCTCTCTCTCTTCCGTTTCTTTCCTTTTTCTTTTAAAGGAAACATAATTTATCAATGAAAAATTATTTCTTCAGAGCTTTCAGGAGACAGATCTTATGGCTGGGTAGGGTCTGTGATTTCTTTAGAGCTTCGGAATCTCAAAATGTCTCTTAAGCAGTGGAGTATTCAAAATGAAAAGAAAYGTAAAAAAGAAGAAGAGAAGATTATTTCAGAGTTATCCTACTAGATGAGGCTGATGAATCTTTGGGTATTTCTCCGGCAGAGGATGAGAAGAGATGTTCTTTGAAGAAAGATTGTTGAATTTATTCATAAAAGGGGAGCATAATCTGATTCAGAAGTGCAAGATACAGTGGCTAAAAGGAGGGGATGAAAACGTCAAGTTATTTTCACAAATACTTGGTTGCTCGGAAAAGATAAGCTCAGATTACTGAATTGAAGGATATCTAGGACATTTACCTCGTAAATCAAATGGAATTTGAAGCAGAAATCATTGGCTTTTTTGAAGTTTTGTACAAAAGTGACGGTGCCCAAAGATTTTCTACAAAAGGGATCAATTGGAGACCTATCTTAATCCAACACAGCAGCTGGTTAGAGAGGAAATTTGAAGAAGCAGAAACCTGGAATGGCATTAAATCTCTTGGGAAAAACAAGGCCCCTGGGCTTGACGGCTTTACCATTGAATCTTTTGAAAAATTTTGGCAGCATTTGAAAGAGGACATCACTAGTCTTTTTGCATAACTCTATAGCAGTGGCCTTATTAATGCTTGTAACCTTCATTTGTCTTATACCTAGGAATGATATTATGGAAGAGGTTAAAGACTTTAGGCCCATTATTCTTATCACTTCTACGTACAAAATCAGGGCTAAAGTCCTTACTTTTTTTTTCTTAACAATAAACAACTTTTCATTGGTATATGAAAAAAGAAAAAATTCAAGGATACAAACTTCCAAAGGACCGAGAGAAAAAGGAAACAGACCACAACAGAAAAGAGACTCAACAAGGAGCATTACAATCAAAATAAGAAAAATAATAAAAGCGAACAATAGGATCCAGAGTCTTTAACTTCGGGCTTGCTAACTTTAACTTTTTTAAATAGATCTTTGAGATCTTGTGAATGGTAAGGATTTCAGCTGATTCTCAAACCCAATCAGCTTGTAACTCCAATCTTCTTCTAAAAAACTCATCTATCATCATAGACCATTCAAAGTTCTTCCAATCGTTGCTAGCCAAGCATCTTAAGATAATAAATGCACTTCTAGAAAAATCTGCGACCCAAATAAATCAGCCAATAGATAAAGGACAATCAGCCCCCTTCGAAATCCAACCAACATTAATAAGGTTGCTGGAGAAGAAACTTTTCATATCTCTACACAGGAAGGAATCAGAAAACCACCTAACAAACCCTGACTCTTCACCTTCAAAAACCTAAAAATGCCCCAACTCTTCACCTTCAAAACCCCTAAACTACAAAGTACAAGCCCAAGCCCAACACTAAATACAACTTAAAAATCAGAGGTTCATATCAATCGGGACTAGTGTAATCCGCATTTTCCAAAATAAGGAGGAATATTAGGTTGCTTTGAAAATTCTGACTTCTCGACTTCTTATTTTTGCTCCTGAAAAAGAATCTTGAAATCTTTCTCAAAAGATTGTTCTAAGATATTCTCAAAAGGGAGATCTGACTTTGGGGAAGAATCCAAACTATTAATACTAATCGCTCCATCATCATCTTCCAAGTCATTATCCGAGAGCTAAGGGTAGAAAACCTATGAGTTAAATCTTCATTAGTAGAATTAATTTGAGCATAAGGAAGAGAATTAATTTTAAGTGATCTATCTTTATCAACTCTTTCACTTCCCCATTGAAAGCCTCATTCAAATTTACTTGCACCTCTTTTTAACTTCTAGAGACTTGGCAAACCCTTTTTCAGAAAGAGAGTTGGACTTCCTTCGAGAAAAGAAAAGCGGAAGAGGTTGAATGAGTCTATTAGTATTCTTCAACCGAAGTCCTTATTGAACGCCTACAGAAAGTGATTTCCATCACTATTTCTATAGATCATAGCGCTTTCATCGAGGGTAGACAGATTTTAGACCTGGTGTTAATAGCAAAGAAATTGTGGACTACTGCAAACTTTAGAAGAAGAATGGTTGGCTTTTAAAGCTTGATATTTAGAAAGCATTTGACAGGGTGGATTGAGACTTTTTGATTGCTGTCCTTAAAGAAAAAAAAAGGTTTGGAAGCAAATGGATCCGTTGGATCTATGGCTGCATTTGAGGAGCTAAGTTCTCAATTTTCATTAACAGTAGGCCTCGAGAACCAAATTACTACCAACAACGGTAGGCTTCGAGAAAGAATTTTCACTTCAAGAGGTCTAAGACAAGGTTGATCCCCTTTCACCTTTTCTGTTCTTATTAATAAGTGATGTCTTAAGCAGCTTACGGGATAACATTCATGAAAAGGGTATTTGAAGGCTTAGTTGTTGGTAGTAATTTGGTTCACATTTCCCACTTGCAATTTGCAGACGACACACTACTTTTTTGTAAGGACAATGATGAGATGTTGGAAGCTGTGTTTGACACTATTAAGGCTTTTGAGTGGCTTTCGGGCCTAAAAGTAAATTGGGACAAGTCCTCGTTGTGGGGAGTCAATATTGATTCCCAGAAAGTGGCTTGGGTTGCCAAGAAGTTCAACGGTAAGTTTGAGCCACTACCTATCTTGTATTTAGGGCTGCACTTGGGTGGAAACCCTAAGAAGATCTATTTTTGGAGTCCCATCAAACAAAAAATTATGAAGAAGCTCGATAGATGGAAGAAATATCAGCTCTCACGTGGAGGTAGGTTGACCCTTTGTCTCTCGGTGCTTGGCAGCATTCCTTTCTTTCTCTGTACAGCTCTTATATACATCATGTGAAATACCCAAAAAGCCCTACTAACTAACTCGGGCCCACCAATATCCTACCTCAACCGTACGCTCAATTACCATGCGCCCTCTTCTTCCTAACATACACAAACTTAATAGGGGGCTATCACGCCTTACTTCACTCATAATCTTTTTGTCACCTCTCACCTTGAGGCGATTGAGAGACTTGTCGACTTAAGTTTTGCCTTGTGCGTTGAAAACATTGGCTAGGCATGGAGCAAAGGTTTTTGCTCTATGGTTGAGGACATTATTTTGAATCCTCCCTTTTGAAACAAGATGACAGTTCTTTGGCATGCTTGTTTTTTTGCTGTGTTGTGGGAAATTTGGCTGAAGAGGAGTAGTAGAATTTCTAGAGGGATTGAGAGGTCCTGGGTAGATGTTTAGGAGGTTAGATTCAACACCTCGAGGTGTCAGTTTCTCAGCCTTTTTGTAATTATTAGCTACGACTTATTCTTTTGTATTGGAGTCCATTTTTGCCTAGATAGTGCTTGGACCCCTTGTGTGTGGTTATTTTTTGTATGCCCCTTGTATTTTCTTTTATGCTTTTCAATCAAAGCTTGGGTTTTCATTAAAAAAAAAAAAGAGTTAAAATCACCAAATATGATCATTTGACTTTTGCATTTATTGAAATTATCTTGATTTATATTCTTTGACTTTTCCATTTATTGAAATTATCTTGATTTATATTCTTTTCTTATCTTATCTTGATTTATAATTTTGAGTCTTCCATATTTCTTTCTATTTTTATTTCGTTTTTCTTTCTGGCATCCTGATCCAAGCAACTGCACCAAATCTACCATGGGCTCGGGCTTCAACTTAGACAAGAACCATATGATTTGTTTTGGATTTAATTTTAAGTTACTTGTTAGGATTAGTTGGCTGATAGTGTCATATTAAAAAGTAATCATGTTTAGTCAATATCATTTGTTCATATGCTCCTTAACTTTTTGGCCACAGGGCTTAGTAGTTGTTAATATATCAGCAACAACATTTCCGCAAACACTGGATTGGCTGCATGGATATATTCTGCAGGTAAACTGTATAAGCAGCATTAAAGTTACTATTTGGTAATATTTATAGCTAGTTTGCTTTATTTAGGATCTATTTATTTATTTCATTATTAATATTTTTTTTATATAGTTTATCTCTAGTTTATAAAGTTAAACTAAATATTATCTTGAGTTTTTTAGTTTAGCTCTAATGCTTAAAGTTTGTGTATTTAGACCATTGTGCCATTGTTATGGTAACTCTTTGGTCTTGCTTTGTACTTCTCACATTACTTAAATAAAAAGTGCAGTGTTTATTATCGGAAAACAGATGAGTAAATTAATCATCTTGGCCTATCAGGCAAAAAGAATACTTTTTTTACCTTCACATTACTAGAGCGTGGTTAAGCTTTACCTTAAGCACACTCAGTTAAAACTTATAAATTTGGGAATTCCTTCGAACCTTAACTACAAACTGTTGCCACCATTGCCAGCTAAGCCTCCAGCCATGGTGTTCTGCCATACCTGTCACTATTAATTTTTGAAGAACCAACCGTACTTGTAGTCTAACTCGAACCCTAACTACAGACAATTGCCACCATTGCCAGCTTAGCCTCCGGCCATGGTGTTCTGCCATACCTGTCACTATAAATTTGTGAAGAGCCAACCTTACTTGTAATCAAATCTTTTTTGTCTTTTTATAACTAGGAGTCAGAGCTTTACTCCCCTATACCCAAAGACACCCGCGCCCGTCTCGAGGTCCTGGGAGACATCAAGGGTTTTTGGTATTAAGCTTATCGAAAGGTTCGAACTTAAGACCTCTAAGCCGGTATGACCAAGAGACCCAAGTCCTTACCAATTGGACTGCCCCTTGGAGACTTAATTGCAGTATAACCTTAATTGCAACCCTTGTTTACTGTAGCTTTCAAATTTGACCCAAATCACGAGGACCTTGTTTGATAACAATTTTGTTTTTAATTTTCTTTTTTGAAAATTATGCTTGCTTCACAATTTCTTTGGTATATTTTTCACATTTTAAAAAAAACACATTTGAATTCATAGCTTTTCTCTGT